TGATGGAACATAGAATGGAAGAATCATCCAAAATCGAGCTAAATGAGAGAATGCCACTGGATCAAACGATGAAGATACTCCATTACCAGACGAATTATTTGCAGTTGACATAGTTTTTTTTGTAAATGAAAAGTGATTAAATATAGAAACTAGAAAAAATTGTGAATTAATTATAGGCGAATAAAAAAATTGTTGTTTATGTTGACTTCTATTTTCGATTTTTTATCTTGAGAGATATATTTCTACATAACAATCTTCCTTGGTATGTATTACAAAATAAACATTGTGTTATTGAAAGAATTTTATGTGAAAAAATACCTACTAAGTATACTTTATAAGATTGATTCAAGAATATACTTTAAATCAACTAATGAGTCTTTTTTCGAGGTATGACATAAAGCAGCTTGAGGTTTAATTTTCTGTTTTTTTTCTTCTCGGTCTTTAAATAACTCGTAAACCTGAAGTAAGAAAAAGGAAGATGTAATATATCAAATTAAAAATCTAGTCATAAGTATTAATAATACTCAGATTTAGAAAAAGAATAATAATATCATAGTAAACATATTTGTTTTATTATTCATATTAATTACAGATATGAAATCGTAATTTACGTTTTTTTTGTATTTATTTATTGAATATACGACATGATTATTAATGTTCAAGACAATGATTATTTTGGTAATTATCAGTCCTCTGAAAAATTGTAAAGGGAAAAAATGACATATGTAAGAGATTGTATCATTTTTCGACATGTTACATTCTGTTGGTAAGCCTTGAAAGCAGCTAAATTTATATAAGGATAAATAATCTCAGCCAATAGCGATAATATCTTTATTAACCATTATAATATTATAATCATTTACAAAATAATTCATATTGTATTTGGTACGAGAAAGTTAAAAAGAAATAAATGAATTCTTATAATTAAGTAAATTTTAACAACTATTTAAACAAATCAATGTATATACTGATCGAAAAATCTCAGAATCCATCTTTAATGATTTAGAATGTTAAATGATAATTCGATTCCTTGAACTACTATCACATCTCAACAAAATCAATGGCATGAGCTTTTTAGCATGTTGAGGAAATCTTATTCAATTTGTTTATAGTTCTACAATAGCAAAACAACTCTCATCAGATAAATGATTTTTGTAGTTATAATTAGTATATCTGTTGATGTGCATCACTACAATCTCTTAGATTATCATGTCGTTGAAAGGAAAAGAAAAGAGCCATTTTTCTAAGTCACATCTTCCGGGATATATGCAGTGTCATCCATGATTTTTGATAATAATCAAAAAACATCACGTATCTTTCCTTATTACTTTTTATGTTCAATTAACGATATTTAAATTCATATATGATTCAATGTTGATTATTTTTTACAATTTTTATTATAATCATTAATACTCAAGTATTTTATAAAAGAAAACGTTTTTGTGTCATAGATAGTATAATTATGATCATTGAGCAGTAACTATATTTTTCAAATGTCGATCACCTGCACGTCGGGATAATGCTATTGTTTCAGGTTGAACGGTTCTTGCCTGTCGTTTGCAACATATAAACAATTTTTTCAATTTTGATTGAAGTTCAGGCATTGATCCAGCAC